ATTGCTTCTAGGGAATACACATCAACATTGACTAACCTTTGCAGCATAATCCCTTGTTACAATGGGGACTATCTGTGCCCATAATCAGACAGTGATGAGCTTTCCTTGCACCCAGCTAATCCCAATACCCATCATTGCCAAGGCAAAGTGACTGGACTGCCCTACACCCTTACACATATTTCCTCAGGATGTACTTTTGCAATGTCCATCTACTTTAAAGGCTGGTTTTGCCATTCATTTTAACCTGATCTCACCTAGATAAAAACTAGGATGGGGATACAATACTTCACTCAAGACCCTATCCACCTCTAGGGATTCTTCCTATTAAGTGGAACCCTGAGCTAGATAATAATGGTACACTGAGAGCACACTCCCTGGACCCCAATTAAACAAAAGGTTTTAGTGCATATTAATGGGAGAGAACAAGCCAACGTGCAGAGCAGCTCAGCTTTGCCCCCTCAAAGACTCATTGCCTGTATCAAATGGAAGAGTTGAGTGTCCAAGAGTTTGCAGAAATAGGCAAACTGACTTAGAAATATTTTATGGAAACCCCAATCCTGATTAACAGAGGCCCCAACTTTTATTTTAGCATATTAAGCTTTAGAGTCATAGTTTAAGTCACAAGAGGACCTGGTCAGACTCCTGAGGGGAAAAAATCCTGAATTAGAAAAGTGATTGTCCCATGATCCTCTCTGCCTCACGTTGAGGAGAAAAACTTTTAATTGTGCCCATTGGGACAATTCAGTAATTTGCACAGGCATACTGTCAGCATTAATGTTATAATATCAATGTTTCTATTTCCAAGGTTATCTTCAGCTTGGGGGAATTGTAACATGTATAAACTTTCTCAAATGGGTTCCAGATCTGCACAGGGAAATCATCTCTAACGATGTTTCTTCCAGTTGGTTGCTGTGTTTCATTTCATTTTGTTTTTAAGTTTGGAGGAAGAGTGGCTTCTTACTTATCTAGGTGAGATCAGGTTACAATGAATGGCAAGACCAGCCTTTAAAGTAGATGGACATTGTAAAAGTACATCCTGAGGAAATATGTGTAAGGGTGTAGGGTAGTCCAGTCACTTTGCCTTGGTAGTGATGGGTATTTGGGTACTGTTAATTGGGATTAACTGGGTGCAAGGAAAGCTCATCACTGTCTGATTATGGGCACAGATAGTCCCTACTGTAACAAGGGATTATGCTGCAAAGGTTAGTCAATGTTGATGTGTATTCCCTAGAAGCAATGTTATATGTGGTAGTTAGGCTGCTAGGTCAGGTCACATGAAAGCCAACAAACTTGCTGTACACCCAAAGCTTAGTATAAATGAGTGGTGTTATAGAACCTAAGCTCCAAGGCTTCCCTCCTCCTACAGATGGAAAGATCCAGTGTCCTGGCTGGAGTCTGAGATTCTGGCTGTCCTCACTGGTAATATATTGCAATGGCCCATTCTATCTATTGGGCCCCAGCCATACTTCATCTTCCACCTTGGCCATCTTCCTGTCATAACCACTGCCAATGTTATGTTTGAAAATTAAGGTAAACTGAGAGACAATGGTCTGAGAATGACCAATTTATTATTTAGGCTAGTAGTAACCAAAAAATTGGGTCAATGGCCTGTCTTAATGACCAGAGACCCCAAGGTAGGGCTCACTAAACAATATAGTTTTGGAGAGTACAGAATTAGATAGGTGGGGGAAGACCATGCAATTGGTTACAGGATACACAGCATCACAGGGATGAAGACTATATGATTTTTTTTTTTTTTTGGCAATTGGGGTTAAGTGACTTGCTCATGGTCATACATCTAGTAAATGTGTGAGACTGGATTTGAACTCAGGTTCTCCTGACTCCAGGGCCAGTGCTCCATTCACTATATCACCCAACTGCCCCTCATGATTGGTTCTTTCAAAGAAAATGAGCTAACAATCACATGGGACTAGTAACCATCCCCTCTGACAATTAAAGAATATTAATTGTTTTATGAGACGCATCTACATCTTGCAGACCTTATTAGTGGACCTGAGTTAGCAGATTCCCTGAGGCCTAGAAGGGTTTTCAGGGAGATAATCCTCCTTAATTGTACAAAAACAGGCAAGGACACCCTTGCAAATATACCAGATCAGCTTGTAGGCCTTTAAAGACAAGGTACTGTAGTTAACAGTTTTTCTTTTAATTATACCTTTAAATTAATTCAAAGGTAAAGCCTAAATTCCTAAGCTCAACTCTAGGATATATCAAGGTACCTTTTAGAGATGCAGATTCAGTTATAAAATTAATATAGCGTAAAATCAATTATATTGTAGAATATTAATTTTGATCTTTTCACCAATAAAATAAAATACAAACTCCTTTTTTGGTATTCAGGGTGCTCTATGATATTGTTTCAACTTGAAGGGTACATGAAGATCATGTACCCTTGAGTTTTTTCTTCTTCTAGTTCTAGCTAGACCTGATCTAACTCATGAGCCATTGGTCAACTACAATGAAAAAGTTTTCTAAGGTGGGTATGGTAACCAAGGCTCTTTTTTTTTTAAGAAGTAGGTATACTAAATGAGGGAGAAATAGCATAGTATGCAGCTGGATAGACATTTGAGAGTTTCCCTTTATATGCATGAGCCTGCCTTTGCTACTGTATGGATGAACAAGAAGTGAGAATTTAACAACATTCTACACAGCCCATCTGGAGAGGAAGCAGTGAAGGGAAGCAGGATTTTCTCATCTATCAACAGAGCAATGGCCAAGAAAAGCAACCAAAAGACGAATCAGTTCCCCAGAGCCCAGGTTCTTCAACGGACTGGACATTGGCCAGGAAAAGTCACAAGTAGAAAAGCAAATGAAGGGGCAGCTAGATGGCACAGTGGATAAAGCACCAACCCTGAAGTCAGGAAGACCTGACCACAGACCAAACAGTTGACACTGACTAGCTGTGTGACCGTGGACAAGTCACTTACCCCCAACTGCAAAAAAAAAAAAAAAAACAA